TTGTGTGAAAAAAAAAAAAAAAAAAAAAAAGGACTGAAATTCACTGAATGGACAATGTAGTGCGAGTGAGAGCTCAACAAACAGTGTTCATCCTGATACATACAAAAATGGTGTTTTATAGTGCAGTGGAAGAGTTAGATACAAGTCCTGACCTGACCGGGACTGACCTCTCTCACGTAGTACAAGCCAGCGAAGCAGAATGCTAGAGTACCAATGACTAGCCCAATCAATGTCACAATACAGACCAAACATACATCATGCTTATCACAAAGTGTGAAGGGGCCTGGCACTACACACAGGAAGAAGGCGCCAGGTCCAGACCATGCACAGACGAAGAGGAGGGAAACAGATGAAGACGAGGAGGGGGGAGATGGGAAAGTCGTTAACACCAAGTCTTCGTTACAAGTCCCAAATAGTTCCTCGTCAAAATGTCTGAAGCCCAATGTCAAGTCTGGATCCAAATGTCACCAAGCTCTCTCTCTCTCTCGTAGTCTGCTGATGCAGTGAAGTCAGGTAGCGAGAGGGTAAGAGGGAGATGGTGGACTGAGAAGAGGAAGGAGAAGAACTCTCTCTCTCTCTCTCATGTGCCAGGTACTAAACTGTGAAGATGGCGCTGTGCTGCAGTACCTCGTCTTCGCTGCAGGTGAGTCTCCCTGGCCTCCGCCCAAACTCTTTGTCTCTCTAGTACTACTCTAGCTCCTAATGCCGCCCAGCGCTGAAGACTACAGCTAACGCTACTAGCGCCCAGTGCTGAAGACTACTGCTAGCGCTACTACTACTCCTGCAGCGCTCCTCCAGAGTGCTGCTGCCGAATCCTGAAGGCTGCCTCCTGCCTCCTGAACTGCAAGTGAAGTGCCTGGGAAGTACCTAGGAACTACCTGCAGCCTACCTAGGAACTACCTGCAGCCTACCTAGGAACTACCTGCAGCCTGCAGGGCGGGCCAGTCTTATATAGTGCTGGCCCGTCCAGGAGGCTGCTCTTGCCAATGCCAAAACGTGCCAGACCCTGGGGTTGAAACTCAAACAAAGGTTGTCTTGAAAATAGGCCAAAAATGGCCGGACCTAAAACCCTGGTCTGGTGCCTGAGTTTCAGGGCAGGTCGATCTTATGAGGGCCTGAAAATGGCCCTCAGTTTCAGGCTGAAAAGACTCAGGGCCGGAAAGGCCCTGATTTAGGCTGAAACGACATAGGGCCTGTAGGCCCTTGTTTTCAGGCTTTTCAGGCTGAAACGACACAGGGCCTGTAGGCCCTTGTTTTCAGGCTTTCGGGCCAAAAACGACAGGGGCCTGAAAATGGCCCGTGCAGCCTGTTGCAGGCGCAGCATGTACCAGTCTGTGTGTGTGTGTGTGTGTGTGTGTGTGTGTGAGAGAGAGAGAGAGAGAGAGAGAGAGAGAGAGAGAGAGAGAGAGAGAGAGAGAGAGAG